AAATAACCTAATTATTATATATCTTTTTCTTAATTTTTTAAAAATCTAGAAAATTAACACTTTTCCCTTTGTTGTAAATTCTGTATTAAAGGATTAAGCATGTAGTTAAGGCTTTTTTTTTTTTGGGTAAAAAAGCATGTAATTAAGGCTGCGGACCACATAAAACAACTTTCATGAAAGATTTGAAAGCCGCCAATTCAGATATCTTTTCGACCACCATTTAACACCACAACTGTCAAGTTTATCCAAAAAAAAAAAAAAAATTCACAACTGTCACTGTCACTGTCACGTGATATGCTCCCTTTTCTTTGAATTATATTATGAAAAATGATTTTTAAATAATTTTTTTATTATTTTTGTATATTATTATATGTTATTTAAATAATTAATTTTTTATTTAAATATTAAATATATATTTATTTAATAATATATAAAAATTATATAAAAAATAATAAAAAAATATTTTTATAACACCTCCTTATATTATTGTACGTAGGTAGGCTAGAAGATAAAGTATTCTTGTCACATTATATATGCGAATAGTCAAATACCTTTATGTTCCATTCTATCCAGATATTTTATTAGCATTTTTTTTCATTAAATGAACTGGCTGCTTGCTTAGCAACAATAATAATGACCAAGAGGAACTGAAACTTTGCTTTTAATAATTTACCTTCAAATCTTAGTATTTAATTTTAGTTAATAAAATATTTAATTCTCATTAATTATTTGAAAAAAATTTTCCACTCCCAAAATTTTTTCATGTTCAAAAAAATGAAAAAAACAATAATAATGACAAAGAGGAGTTTTTTTTTTTTTTTTGAAAGTGGGGTAAAATTAAGTCTGCACAATATGACCTAAAAATCCAAATGAAGTTTCGGGAAAAAAGAAAAAAAAATCATTTGTATCGTGAGAATATTATTGTTTAATTAAAATTTGTCATGTCAACAAGACATTAATAAAATTGTTCAAATTGACGCATTTTGCATACTCCCCATAATACAAAAGACTTTCTTTATTAAGATTTTTTAGTT